TCCCTAGTCCAGAACAGTGCATCTGTTAAATTATAGGTGGACATTCACACTCCTCAATCAAAGTTTCCACCCTCCTTCCTATCTCCCCAAAACAAACCCTGGGTTTCTGCTAACTTGCAATTTAGCCTGTGCCATTGTTTCCCCCCACTTTGCAGTCTTCTGCTGATTTACCATGTACTTTGTCCTTGCAGGCAATCACTCTGCGATCATATCCAAATGCAAGATACCCCCTACATATCCAATTGTATTGTAAGTGTCTTTGTGTTTTTTAGAGAACCAAATGAACAGATGGTCAGAAATCCGAATTCTTCATCAACACCACTGAGCAACAGCCCTCTGTCCCCTGTCAAAAGCAGTTTTCCTGGACAAACTGGTGTCTCTTCTCTCAAACCAGGCCCACTCCCACCTAACCTGGATGATCTCAAGGTACAAGACTTGACCTGATTTTCATTTCTTTTAACAGATACAGCAATATATTATCATCAGCATCTTTGAGAGAAGAGTATGGGAGAGACTTGTAGTAGCGGTAGTGTTTAGGCTGCAGTGGCAAGCCACCAAGAGAGGACAAAGCTACAGGTCCCCAACTCAGCTTTCCTGAGCAATGATTCCTAGGGACAGATAGTCTTTATGTTTTCTGGCATCTTAGATGTCTCATTTACACAAATGAACTATTTTAATGGTCAAATGGAATAGTATGTATGATAGAACTCAGCAGTGTTAATGTGCAGTTTATAAAACCTCCAGAATGCTCTAAACCAGTGGTCCATCCAATGAGGATATTTTTACCAATCTCTGGCAAAATGAGAAAAATAAGAACCATGTAAAGTGCTTTTCATATACCTAAGTACATTCCATGAATTTAACATGTATTGAAAGTATACATTTCTTCACAGTGATTTGAATTTTAAGTTATTCTTTCTGTTGGAAAATGATGAAGGTAGTAGAAGGCAGTTTAGTGTTTTTGGTAAGGTTATATTTGTTCCCTGGTATTAAATAATGATCCTATTCCTTACCAAAAAAAAAAATAAAATGTTGGTAACTCAGTGTTACTAATGTAAAGTAATTTTTTGTTCTACTAAATTCTCAAATCTGGAAACTTCTGTCCTGAAGCATCACCTCTTTAAATGTTACATGCATTGCGCAGCTTATGCCAAATCACAGACCACATGGATCTCAGTTTTGTGAAATGACATTGAACTTTGAGTAGAACCTGGTGTGTTTCAAAGCAATCCTTAGGCCCAACATATTCATCCATCTATCCAGTAGTCACAGCAGAACTGAAAAACACAAATGTAACCTCTCCTATGTGACTACAATTCAATTCCCACCCCATTCTCAGTAATTACACTTGTTAACCTGGTTTCCAACCCACCTATTACTCTCCACACACTGTCTTATAATTTTCCCCAAAAACTACACCCCTAAAGGTTCCCATACCTTCATTATGCCAATCGTATGGCCCTTCTTCCTTCTCAGTCCTCGGATCCATCTCATTTCCACCCACATCCACTGCCATCATATTCTTGGGATGGAGAATGGAAGTAGAATTTGGCTCATTTCAGATTAAAGGAGATTCCATGGCTGCAGAGCATCAACACTAGTAATAAAATGTATCACAGATCCTGATATCAAAAGCTCTTCTATTCTTTCTTCTTGAATTAAAAATGCTTAGGTTTCATTAAGCTTGTTTCAATTTGGCATCCACACCCCCAGAAAAAGACGCTAAGTTTGTGATAATGCTCTGGAGCCATGGGTCTTCCACCCTCAACTCCCCAAATCATAAATCCATAGAGATAAAAAAAAAGCATTATGCTAAGCCCACTCAAAGGGACGAATATAATCTGCATTCACTTATAGGAAGCACTGGAATAGGAGAAGTCATAGAGGCAGGAAGTAGAATGGGAGTTACTGGAGGATGAGCCCAGAAAGGGCCAAGGGGAGCTGGTGTTTAATGGTTATAGTTTCAGGTGGAGATGATGACAGAGCCCTGAAGATGGATGATTGTGACATTGGGCAATCATGTGGATGTACTTAATGCCATGAGCTACGCACTCACATGGTTAAAAGGTCAACTTTATATTGTGTTTATTTGACCACAATAAAAAAATGTAAACTAGACTATCTCTGAATGGGAACCCTGAGCCAGGTAGGACTGGAGAAGTCTCAGCCCCAGAGAAAACATAGTCCAGATATGACACTGCTGTGGGTTTGAGCAAAGTTGCTGAAGCTCACTTTCATTACATGCATCTGCTCAGAACCATGAGCTGGTGGCATTATACTAATTGCGGTAAGTGGCCCCGATATAACAATAGGTGGGATAGGTGGATTTAGCTCAGTGGTTTTGCCACCTGCTGCGCAAGTGCAAGGACCCAAGTTTGATCCCCAATACCAAAAAAAAAAATCCATAATTGGGGTAGGTAAAGGAGATGGAGGTGATGTGATGGTAGCTACGTATTGAGTATAAACTGCAAGCCAACCATTCTATATAAATCTATTCCCTACAAGGTCTATTTTATCACCAAAATTTTTAAAATAAAACTAAACATCAGAATCTGAAAGAGGTTAAATGACAGGCAAGTTAACCAGTATATAAATGGCAAAGGTGAAGCTTGAACCTAGGTGACTGATTTCAAGTCCTTTACATTGTCCTGAGAGATGAGAGGGAAAGGGGAGAGAGATATGCAGTGTGGGGGCCAGGCATCTCCTGAGTCCTAGGAGAGTCACCAAGGGCAGAGATAGGGAGCTTAAAGAAGGAGCAGATGTGAAGCACAGCAGCAAATTCATACTGTTTGCTCTCACTGAATGACAAGATAACAGCAGGACAACTGGGAGAAAAGGTCTACCCAGTTTCTACCAGTAAGAAATTCCATGACATAGTTCAGCCCAGTGTGTTGTCAAGGATGGGGACAGAAACTTGAGTTGTGGTCAATACCAAGAGAGTGAAAACTAGAAAACTGTAGAAGGAGAGTAAAAGGAAGAGTGAGAGGGAAGAAAGGCAGGGAGAAGGGAACAGAGAAGGGGAATAAAGAAAGCACAGGGCCACGCGTGGAGGTGCAGCCCTATAATCCCGGCTACTCAGAGGCTGAAACAGGAGGGTCACATGTTCAAACCCAGCCTGGGCAATTTAGTGACTTACCAAGACTTTGTCTCAAAATAAAAAAATACAAAAGTCTCAGGATGTAGCTCAGTGGTAGAGCACTTGCCTAGCACATGCAAAGCCTAGACTTCAATATGTAGTACTGAAAAAAATATATTTAAAAACATTAAATAATTTTTAAAAATAAAAGAAATGCAGGGTGCAGTTGCACTGGGGGAAAGAAATGAGGAATATATGAAGGTAACTCCCCTAAAAAGTAATTACAAAGGTAAAATAATGAAAGCGATATTTTCAAGAAATAGGCATGTTTTGCCACATTAGGTTAAAAGGGAAGGAGCATAGAGAAAAGAGATTGAGCTTTCATTAAAAATTTATTAATGGTTATCACAGCAGAACTTATTTTTTGCATCCTGTTTCTAAAAAACTGGAGAGCAAGGGAGAGAGAGAGAGAGCAAGGGAAAAGGATGGAAAGCCTGAAAACTGGGAAAAAGTATAACGGATATTAAGAAACAACTGTTCACTTTTTAAAGGTGTGATAATGCTGTTGCACTGTATGTATGCTTTTATAAGAGTTCTTCTTTTTCAGAGATAGATGCTCAAAATTTGAAATTACGTGACTGCTTCAAAATAATCTGGGACAGGTAGGGGAAGAAATATGCTAGGGCATAAGAGAACCAAGATGGGGCATAGGTTGATAATTCTTGAAGTTGGTTGATGAGTATATGAGGTTCATTATACTTTTCTATGTACTCTTATGTATAATAAATGATTTTAAAAGTTATGAATGATTAAGACATCACTGAGTGTAGGACATAGATGTAAATAAGCCCACACAGCAAAATATTCTGAAATTTAAGGTAAGTTGAACTCAACAAGTACTCATTTTATTTTAGAATATGAGCTGCATTATTTAATAATGTAGCTTAAATTATTCAGTGCCAGAACGGATTCTAAAAATAAATGTAGAACTCATTAATTTTACATAATTCAAAATTAGAACAACAATAAGTTGTCATCTTGCACTTTTTGAAACCATCAAATCTAAAAAAAATAGGTAAAACATTATGAGGATTTCCTATTATTGAGGAAATGCATAGTTATTGCTAGTGTAAGTTGATACAATCTTCTGATAGATTTTAGCTTATTATAAAGTAACATATTCACAGTTGGAATATGATAGTGTGTAGAAAAGTAAACAGTATTTTAGAAAACAAGAGTCACAGACTAAGACAGGTTATACTTCCTTATAGATTTAAAATGCAAATGAACATATATTGTTTCACAATAACTATTTTTAAATAATTATGTATCTGTAAATTTCTGACATGTTTTATTTCTTTAATGCATCATGAACATTTTTCATAACTTTTATTAGGTTTTATTTTTAATAGCAGCATATCACTCCACCACCTCGTTAACATTCCAGTGTTGGACATTTAACTAGCTGCCAAATTTTTGTTAGGCAAAATGTGATTTCAGTGACCTTTGTACATACATTAATCTCTCTGATTATTCCTCCAAGCTAACTACAGAGGAGTAAGATTCCTGAGCTAAAATATGTTAACATTTTTTATAGTCCTTGATGCGTATTATCAAAATTCTGTCCTCAAAATTTGTTCCATTCTGTTCCCAGAAACAGCATGCAAATGCAGCACTACTTAAAGGCTGCTGTCCAGTGAATCACCTAGACCTCCACTGAAATGCAGATTCCCATTCTGCAGGCCCAGGGTTAGGACAGAGGTGCTGCATTTCTAACTGGCTCTGAGATATTGTTCACACCCCTAGTCCCAGGATTATACTTTGAGTATGATGATAATAAAGACTTTTCTCTTTTTAAGATATTTATTTATTTGTTTGTTTATTTATTTATTTATTTATTTTGCTACCTAGGATTGAACTCAGGACCTTGTGATTGCTAGGCAGGCAGCAGCACCACTGAGCTAAGTGCATGGCCCTAACATTTTTAATTTTTGCTGCTACTCTACTAACACAAAGGGTACTAATTCATTTGACAATTTGATGAATACAAATATTATGTGTATTTATTTTATTTGAATTTCTTGCATTATTAATGATATACATACATTACTGGCCATTATTTACATTTTATTTTTGTTTATGAAAAGCTAGATCATAACTTTTGCCCACCTTTATATTATCAACCTTTTACTTTTTTATTATTAAGTATACTTAATGCATTGAACTTTTTAACACTATATTATTTGTGCTGCAATTTTTTGCAAGATTTTTATTTGGATTTGCATTTTGTTTATGGTTGCTTGACTTATAGAAGCTTTACATTTTGGTTGTCAATATTTTTATTACTATTTCATTTGCTTTTGTATTCATAAGATCTTTCCCTTAAAAAGCTGAGGATATTTCCCTATTCTTCTGTCTTATACAATTATTAATGCTTGGCTATTCAGTATATTTCCTGTTTTAATAACAAGAGCAATATGTTTATGTGGAATATTTAGAAAACAGAGGTAACCAAAACCATTATTAACATGTTACCGTATATTTGTCCAGATTTTCCATATAGAAACACAAGTTTAAATATTTATGCATATTATTTATGTAGCTTGTGTAAAAAATAGAATCAATTCAAACTTTCTTTTGCTAAATATTATACCATGAACAATTATTCATTACCCAGTGTCAACAGTTATTTAATATCTGTAGTATTCCATCATGTGCATGCTCTATCATTTATTTGGCCAGTTCCCATATTTGTGTATATTTTATAATTTGTAATATGCAAACATTATAAAATACAGATGAATTAAATATATATGAATTAATATAATAATAATAAGCCCATACATTGTGCAACCATCTTCCAAGCTCTGCACCAAGTGTTTTACAAGTTTTAAGCCATTTGTCACAGAAGCAGGTAGATACGTAGGTAATAGTAACCTGTTTCACGGAACAGGCTCAGAGGACCACTGAGGTAATACAAGCAGGGCCAGGGTATGGACGGATGCTCTTATCACCACATTATCTCTCAGTATTTGACTATCACTCAGTCAGTCATTAAAACCAAGACATAAGGGGCTGGGGATTTAGCTCAATGGTTTCGCCGCCTGCTGCGCAGGAGCAAGGACCCGAGTTCGATCACCAGTACCAAAAAAAGAAAACTAAGACATAAATTTTAATGTGGAGCTGTGGCTTTCAAAGTCTGGTCAGGGACCAGCAGCATTACATTCCCTGGGAACTTGTCAGATATTCAAATTCTGTGTCTCGTCCAGAGACCTCCTGCCCCTCAACTCCATGGCGGGACCTGTAGTGTGTGTTGCCTCCCAAACCTTCAGGCGCATGCGCAGGTTTGAGAACGAGAACACAGTGGGAAGAAACTTCACTCTGGAAGCCGGGAACCCTGCAAGGTTTAGCTGTGCTTAGAGACTGTTGTTTGAGGGCTTGGGTCTAAACTCAGGCGGAGATCAGTTTTCTCATCTATAAAATGGGAACTGGGGCCAACATGGGGCTTGAAGGGCAGTAAATTAGGACATTTCACTTAACATTTTCTTTTTTTTTTTTCCTTTTCTTTTCTTTTTTTTTTGGTACTGGGGATCGAACTCAGGTCCTTGGGCTTGCGAGGCAGGCACTGGAACCACTGAGCTAAATCCCCAGCCCTTCACTTGACATTTTCTATGACCCTGAGCCCATGAATGAGTGGTGGAGATTCCCCCCTTACAATGGCTCCTCCCCTGGGTTTTGATTTTATGAAGGTATGAAAATCATACGCATTCTGCAAAAATTATATTTCAAATTTTGAATTTTGATCGTCTCCTAGGCTGGTAACGTGCTGTCTGGTCCTCTCTCAGGATGGCAGGCAGCGTCCGTGGTTGTAGCGCCCAGTCAGCCCTGTGTCTGTGAGAACAGTAGGGTGGTCTCCAGCATACTGTGCTGCTGAGCCAGGGTGCTGGGAGGCCTAAACGCTTTTGCAACTTACGATACACTCAGTGTGTGATGGGCTTATCAGTACCTTACCCCACAGTAAGTCAAGGAGCATCTGTATGTGAGAAAGTAAGAAAGAATTGTTAAAATTGTGCAAAACTGATTTATATCAGGGTTAGGAGAAGAAATTAGAAACGTAAAGAATGAGGAATAGGTACCGTAAACTTCCACATGTGATATTTTCAAGCTAATTTAATAATAAATAAGCATTTAAAAATATTAGTATTTGATACACACTCACAGCATCCTTGTTCCTTTAGGTCTCTGAATTAAGACAACAGCTTCGAATACGGGGCCTACCGGTATCAGGCACCAAAACAGCTCTCATGGACCGGCTTCGACCCTTCCAGGACTGTTCTGGCAACCCCATGCCCAACTTCGGGGACATCACGACTGTCACTTTTCCTGTTACACCCAACACGCTGCCCAGTTACCAGTCCTCCCCTTCCACCAGTGCCTTATCCAATGGCCTGTACCACTTCGGCAGCACCAGCTCCAGCCCCCCGATCTCGCCTGCCTCATCTGACCTGTCGGTGGCCGGGTCCCTGCCTGACACCTTCAATGAGGCGTCCCCGTCCTTCGGCCTGCACCCATCCCCAGTGCACGTCTGCACGGAGGAGAGTCTCATGAGCAGCCTGAATGGGGGCTCGGGTCCTTCCGAGCTCGACGGGCTGGACTCCGAGAAGGACAAGATGTTGGTGGAGAAGCAGAAGGTGATCAATGAGCTCACCTGGAAACTTCAGCAAGAGCAACGGCAGGTGGAAGAGCTGAGGATGCAGCTGCAGAAACAGAAGAGCAGTAACTGTGCTGAGAAGAAGCCGCTGCCATTCTTGGCTGCCCCCATTAAGCAGGAAGATGCCATTTCCAGCTGCCCTTTCACCTCACAACAAATACACGCCAAAGGACAAAACCACAGCACGGAGATTCAACCACAGGCCTGCGAAGCTGCTCAACTCCTGCCCCTTGGCAACACCCACTGTGGGGAATCCTCAGGTCAAACCAATGTACTTTCTTCCACATTTCTCAGCCCCCAGTGCTCCCCGCAGCACTCGCCACTTGGAGCTGTGAAGAGCCCACAACACATCAGTCTGCCCCCATCACCCAACAGCCATTACTTCCTGCCCTCTTCCTCCGGGGCTCAGGGAGAAGGACCCGGGATGTCCTCACCCAGCAGCCAGGTGTGCGCCACGAAGGTAAGAGCACCTTGCACCAGCCCCAGTGTTTCCCTTAAGGGAAACAGGAGATGGATTGCCAGCCACTAAAGAGCTGATGTTGGAACTTGCCACGTGAAAGGCTTACTAGAAGCCCAGCAACTAAAATCTGCCAAACTCTCTGATCTAGGATGGAGTGGTGAACTTGTTCTAAAAAGGACCAGGTGGTAAATATTTGGGGCTTCATAGATCATACTGCCTGTGTCAGGGTCACAACTACTCAGCTTTGCCCTTGTATCACATAAGCAACCATAGACATCTGGCAAATGAATACATGATTCCAATAAAACTTTATTTGCAAGAACAGGCAGAGAGCAAAATTTAGCTTGTGAGCTATAGTTTGCTGACCACCACTTTCAGGACTCCTTGATATCAAATCACTTTATCAAGAAAGCCAAAGGGGAGGTTCCCAGACCTTATTCTTCTCTCTATGAAGTAGTATTCACTAAGTATCTATTATGTGCCATGCTCTGTTCTGCCCAATAGGAATTAGTGCTGAACTAACCAAACAAAAGTTTCTCTTCTCTTGGGAAGACAGATAGTAAGCAAAATTTTAACATTAAATTAATGTGTTAGAAGATGATGCATCTTACAGAAGGTCAGAAAAAGGATTGCATTTGTGGGAGAAATTTGCAACCTCAAATCTTGAAACACCAGGGTCATTTAAACAAAACCTTTAAAGAGATAAAGGAGAAAACTTTGTGATGTTTATAGTTAAGGCATTGAAAGCAAAGAAGGAACAGTAAATGCAAAGGTTCTGGGGTCAGAGTATGTGAAGTATTTGAGTATCAGAAAGAAGCCCAGCATTGCTGGAGCAGGAGAGAAAAGTTGTAGGAGATGGCTTAGAGGAGTAACTCAAAGACAGGAGCAACATGATCAGCAAAGATTGTTGTCCACAAAGCTGAAGAATTTATAAAGAAAGTCTAGATAAGTATATCCAAGAAAGACAATTATATTACCAAGGATTCTGAAATCTGTCTTATCAGAAGGAATAGAAAGAAGCCCTATATTAATTGGATACCTGTCAAGTACCAGGTATGCATAGCATGTCAGTAATCTCATGCATTGTACCACAACCCTATGAACTCCAATTTATGATTCTTTATTTGCCATTGAGGAAAATGAGGCTCATTTTAAAATGAGATTCTAGTTAAACTCATTAACCAGAAGTTCACACTTTTTTCTCTTTGAATATAGAAACCCTGGAAATATGAGGTGTGGCTAAAGTAATGAGAATACACTTTTGCCAGCCTACCAGAACAACACATTCAAATGAATGATAACCCCCACCTGAGGGGGCACTCCAGAAGGAATGTGAACTAAAATGAATTATTATCATTAATAAACATTGAATGCCTAGTGTCCTAGGCAACAAAGATAAAAATAGCTGTTAAGACATAGCTCTGGGACATAATTTTCATGATATTGGTGGTATGAAGTAACATTTTATAGTGATTTATTGCTTATAAAACTCTTTGAAGTCATTAACAATTTCACAATGAGAAGAGAACAATATAGATAACATGAGTTGCCTGTGCCTCTGATGTTAAATGCCACACAAAGTAGGTGGTGATGGAAGTAGAAAGATTGATAATAAATGAGTAGAAAAGTCCAGGAAGTTTCTGTAAAGGTTTTGTTGGACTTTATGGAAAGTGTAGTGTTAAAATGAAAAAAGAAGCAAGGACATTCCACATTTACAGACAGTGAGGTAGAACATAGGGAGAGTGTTGTTTGTGGAGGGAATGGCAGAATTTGGGCTTACAAATGCAAACCTCACCAGAGTCCTGATCATTCATCCAGGTCAGATGTGAAGTTCCTGTGCTGTGGATGTGAGAACCACTGGAAGTTTGTGAACCATAAGTGATAGGTATAAAGCTAGGTTTTAGTTGAGTTCATCTGCTAATGGAATTTAGGAAAGTTTGTAAAGTTAGAACACCAGAAATCACAGGGCAAGGACTAGAAGTGTTGGGAAAAGCCACACTCAAGTATGCTGCTGGCCGTTCAACTTGTCACTTCTTACTCTCTACAGAATTCAGGAGCACATGATGGCCAAACTCCAAACTTCTCTCCCCGGTCTTCTGGCCTCCACACCACTTTCTCTGGAGCCCAGACAGACAGTAGTCAAGGTGCTGGGAGCAACGTTTGTCCCCAAAGCCCAGGTGTACAGCCAAAGGTGAGTATTCCAAAAAAGATTTAAACCTAGGGCTCACATCTCCTCTTCTTTCTTCAGTGGTCTTTGTCCTGCAGTGTAAATGATGAAGTTCAAATTGAAGGAGAATAACATTTCATTTCAAAGAGGTACAAGTCCACTTGGAATGCCTTAAAATGGATGTATAGTTATGAGCTAGGAAATATCCTCAGGAATCATTTCTGGGTGTCATCCCAGATGTCTTGGTGACTGAAATGACCATGATATATTTGCAAAACAACATGGACAACAAACCAGTTTCTGTGAAGTTGAAGATTGGAATAAAGGTATATGAAAAAATAATGTTATGGGGAAAAAAGAGTTATTGGGATTCATGGAAAGGACTGGAGAAGCGCAGAAAGTTTGAGTCTGCCATACCTCTGAAGACAAGGGGTGAGATGACATGTTTTCAGCTGGTGTAAGAATCAGGATGTGAAGGTCCAGGATATAAGGAGTTCTTAGGAGCAATGAGATGGTGATAGAAAAGAGACAAAAATAAGACAACCGTGACATAAAACAGCCACATGTCACAAATCAGAGAAGGAACAGAGATCCTGATATGGGCCAGGCAACCTACAGGAAAACACACTCACAATAAACAAAGTGAGTTCAGGACAAGAGAGCCCAGCAGTGCCTCCAATTCTGCAGATATAACCAATTTGGAATGAAATGATCTGAGGAATGAATTACCCTGGAAATTCCTGGACTAACTTCTTTGTTTTGGATTAGACTAATTTTATTTCCTTTTATCATCTTGTTTTCTCCTAAGAAGGAGCATCTTAGAGAAAGAAATAAATCTGTAAGTTTTCCAGTCTAAGATGGTACAAGCCATAAATCCACAGTGATAAGTATCATTGTTAATATATTTTATTAGTTATTTTCGCATCTCTGGTAAATTATCACCAGTATTATTATGTCTTGGGTCAATTTTTCTGAATGTAGTATGTAATTTCTAAAACAAAGGCAGCGACACTTATGGCCCACAAATTGAATGCTCTTCTCTGTGTTTTACCCACATTACAGAGAGCTGGTTTACATTCTTCTGATAAGGTGGGGCCAAAGTTTTCAATTCCATCCCCAACTTTTTCTAAATCAAGTTCAACAGTTTTAGAGATAACACAGCCTCCATCCTATGAAGATGCATTAAAGCAGGTAACTGTGTGATTTTTTTCTTTATGGAAGACTATATGGACTCAATGGACATTGTTTAATATTATTAAACTTCATGCAGTTTATAAATTCTGATACTGAGTGTCAAGTACTTTCCCAACAGAATGAGCAAAGTATCTACACAGTAATTGTGGGAGGTATTGCTTTTGTAGACAGATGGTGCCAACTTAGGCTGTACAAATTACAAGTTGTTCAACTTTATGGTGGCATGAAACAATACACATTCAGCTAAAACTGTACTTGGAACTGTGAACTGTGAACTGGATCTTTTTCTGGGCCAGTGATAGTACAGTAGTGTAGTACAGTCCTGTCTCAATACAAGGCAGTGGCAGTGAGCGTAGCTTCAAGGCAACTCTCCAAACTTGAAGAAACAATCGGTGCTCTACAGTGCGCTGTGTTGCAGAGCTGAATGCTCAGTAGGTTAGGAGTATTAAACGTATTGTCCATTGCCATAGTAGATTTACAGTGTCTCTATCTGGATGTGACCCCAGCATCAGTCCAGGAGCATATGTAGAAGCTAAGTGATGCAGGGAGAAGGAGCTGGGATGGCATTCAGGATACTTGGCCTTAGTGCCAGCTCTGCCACCTGTCACCTGCCCCTGTCACTAGGGTTGGGCACATACTCAACTTCCCTTCTATAAAATAGGGACTGTATTTACTTTGTATGGACTTTAGGTCATCTGGCACTAACTACATTGTTGGGGTTGTTGGGGTACATGATAGGTACTTTAATATATGAAAGCAATTGTCAAGTCAATACTTTTTAAGATTCCTCCTAATTTTAAAATTCAATGATCCTAGAAGAATATTGATGCTTGTTGAAGCTGAGTAATGAATGCAAGGAGATTCATTGTATCCTCTAGCCTCATTTGTACTTGGAAAGCTCTAATGGAGAAGTAAGGAAAAAAAACAATGAATGATATTATATAGTCAGGCCTCAGTGTCCATGAATTCAACCAGCCATGGTTCAAAAATATTAGGGAAAAATTCCTGAAAGTTCCAAAAACCAAATCTTGAATATGCAGCATGCTGAACACTATGCTGATCCCACATGAAAGAGGCCTCCTTCTACATTGGCCTCCTGCCATTTCACCTGCCTTCCATCTCTCTCCAGCTCTGCTTGTTTGAGTTTTGTTAGCCTCACACCTGGTTCATAGATTATGTGAGGCCTACGGAGCCACATCAGTACTTCATATACACAGACTTTTTCGTCATCATTCCTCAAACAGACAAGTGTCCTGAGCCTCTCAGCCCCCTACCCACACAGCAGGAGGCGAGTGGTAGGCAAACCAGTGAACCTTCATCTATATTTACAGTTGCTCCCCATTGCTCACATTATAGCCTGCATCAAGCTTCTCATGGGAGCTTGAACCCTATTGTGAAATGCACGTGCAGGGATTTAGGTCACTTGGTCCTAATTAGAATTTAATAATAGAAATAAAATATACAATGTTATAATAATAAAAACACAATAAATAAACGTGCACAATAAATGTAATGTCCTTTAATCATCCTGAGGCCACCCTTTACCCCTGTCCATGGAAAAATTGCCCTCCAGAAAACCAGTTCCTGGTGCCAAAAAGATAATGGACCAGACCACTCCAATGAAGTGTAACAACTTGTACCAGGTAGCATAAGTAATCTAGAGATCATTTAAAACATACAAGATGATGTGCCTAGGTTATATTTCATATAAAGGACTTGCACAGTCAAGAATGTTGGTATTTCAGTGGAACTGGAAACTCATCCCTTGAGGATACTGAGCAATGACTCTATTTCAAATGGCCTGAGCATTGATATCAGATAGCCCTACATAGATGCTAAGAGCAGAAAAGAAAATCTTGATCAGTTGCTACCTGCCAGCTGGTATCCCAAGTTCAAAGCCAACCAATAGTAAGGTATAAAGATTAAGTTAAATGTTAGGAGATATTATGAAAAATGGGATTTATCATTTCTGAAAAAAATTGGGGATCTGGAAATATGGGAGCCACATTTCTACCAAACAGAAGTGGAATGTGCCTAATGCAAAGCAACACTGCTTCTTTGGAGCACAGCTATTTTTCTACATTCTGCCTCTCTTCTTCTATATTTGGCTCTTTGACATTATCTGCCAGACCTTGTGGGCATATAGTGGCAAATAACTCATTCTCTGAGCAGTGTCCCCATCCACATTGATTACTAATCCCCATGTATATTAGCTCTGGGCTTTCAGAAGAATAAAATGGATAAACACCTTTGCTATCTTTGTAAGGAATTTAGATAGTCTGGCACTACTGCACATGATAGGTACTCAGATATATGAGAGCAATTGTCAGGGCAATACTGTTTGCCTCCGATGCATCCACACTCATGTTAAGTCAATAGAAAAGAAAACACTCCAGGCAATGTAGACTTCCAGAAAGAAGACTCTACTTACCTCAGATGAGCAGAGAAGAGAAGGGATACTCTACAGGAGTTTACAGGTTCCACAAGCACCAAGTAACCAAGGAAATATGAGCCAAGTTCCTGAACCACTTCTACAGAAGCCAAATAAGAGGTAGATTCAAGTCAAAGTGAGAAAATGATATTTTCTGTATATTCTTTTCTGTATATTCTTTATTTTCTGTATATTTCCTAGAATGGAAACCACTTGACTCAACTTACTCTTATTCTGTGCTGGGAATCATTCTGTCTTCTTTTCTCCTTCTCTTTTCATGGATTATTTCATTAAAATTTACACTGAGGTTTAATCAAATGTAGTTCAAAATCCTTCAGCCAGTATATTCAAGTTCATAACAGTGTTATTCACTACAGCCAAGAGATGGAACCAGCCTTTCCTCTTCATGTACGGATGGATAAACAAAATGTGATAGATCCATACAATGAAATATTATTAAATTTTTTAAAAAGGAAATTCTAACACATGCTTCAACAGAAAGTAGAATGGCGGTTGCTAGGAGTTGGGGAAGGGGCAGGTTGGGAAGTTATTACCTGATAGGTACAGAGTTTTAGTTATGCAAGATAAAGAGTTCTGGAGGTGGAAATTAATGATGGCAGCACAAAAATGTGACTGTACTTAATCTCACTGAAGTATATGCTTCAAAAGGGTTAAAATATTGTATTTTCTGTTATATGTATTTTATAATTACTTAAGAGTCCTTGATCAAATCTAGTTCAAAAACTTATAGTGTTATTTCCAATGATTTCCTGCAGAAATAACCACTTTCTAAACTCTCTGTTCTTCTTTCATTAACTTGCAACAGCAAATGACCCGGAGTCAACAGATGGATGAACTCCTGGATGTCCTCATTGAAAGTGGAGGTAAGGCAGCCTAGAGTTTTGTCTATCTGGACCCTCTGCACTTGTGCATACTCCAGAGAATTAATGCTTAGAACTAAGGTCAGAGGTACTCTGAGTCCGGTGCCCCAAGTGGTCTGCGGGTACAGAGTCATTTCCTCTGAGCTTCAGGTACACATTTGACACTGATAAAAGAAACATGTAGATAATTCCTCCTGGTCTTTATCCTAAAAACACTTTTCACTGAATAATGTTAACAGCTTTCATTCTTCAACTCAATCCTTGTTTCCCAAAATGTGTTCTCCTGCTACATCATTCTTTCTACAGTTCTTATCTCAATGCCTCTGTCTTCTTAATTATAAGAAAAAACAACCAAGCAGATAATGAAAGTTCTGTGCTACTTCTTTAAAATTCTATTAGTAGTCTTCCACTGGATGGCCCACTCATGTTTAAATGTTATTCAAGTTAGCAATAAAATGTTCTCCCCCCCCATTAACTCATTCATTTATTTTTTTAAAAATATAAAGTATGTACCTAGAATTTGAAGACATACAAATGAATAAGAGGACCTAAGGCAGATGTGTATAAGTAAAAAGAAGAGCTCAGGGCTGAACATTAAGGTAAGCCACAGCATTTTAAGTTTCAGAGAAGGCAGAAAAGGATGCAGAGAAGGAGTGGCCAGTCATCACAATAGGCTCAGGGCTGCACTGAAGTCCTCACCTTTGTGTGTTTCACAGTCCTGTCAGGGAAATAGACAACAAGGGAGATGGACCACTTACAAAAGAATACGGTTCTTTCATTGTAACAAGAAGGCAGAAGAAAGATATGTGTTGAGATATATGTAGGTGTATATGTTTCATGATGGTAAAATGAATTATGTAGCAACATCAGTGAAGAGTAAGTGTGCAGAAGGGAGTGTGGAAGAGTCCAGGAAAGAACAATCATGAGATAATTACAAATGAGTTGAGCTTTCTAGAGACACACAGTAGGATTGTCAGGCAGTATTAAATGCCAGTGGTGGGCTTGACATTGCAAATTCTAAATGAAACCAGTCAACTTTGTCAAGTCTTTCAATGTTCAGATAATTCAGAGCAGGCTAAGAGAATGCAGAGGCAAGGCTCACTGAGGTGTGGAGTTTTGCTAGGGTCATACTGGGAAAAGAGAGAAGAGTGAGGGGGCTGAGAGTATTTGTAAAAGAGTAACCCTAAGTGTGGATCTGAGAATATGGGCAAGAAAAGGGCAAAAATGATGCAGAAGGAGCTGATGGTCAGTAGAGAACTGGAGTGAGTAAGAGGGATAGGAGGGATAGAACAGTGAGTGGGAAATTTCGCTTGAAATGGAGCTTTCAGAATGATCAAATATTTGAGGATAACAAGACCCAGGGTGTATCCAACAGAGTGGGAATGCAGAATGAAGGAGTTACTGGAGTTGAGGAAGACAAGGAGCTTAGAGGCCAGCATGAACAGTGTATGACTTCTGAGGTAGCTGAAGTCACAGAGTATGAGAAACACAGAAAGGGTAAAAAGGCAATGAACCATGGAACAGAGCTTTTAGCGATAAGAGGGAGAGACCAAGAAACTCAGGGAGGAGGGAGGGATGTGCACCTCAGAACTCTGAGGAATAGCAAGTAATAAATAGGAGGGGAGTGATAAATAGAAAGGGAACAGCTGGATTGCACTGATCCCTCAGCTGCTGGCCCCCATGGAGAGTAGGATGGAGGATACAGTGTGCTCTGGGACAGCCAGCAAAGGAGTAGGCAAAAGAACCGTCAGAGAAGAGAGTTGAATCATCACAAAGCTGAAGCTCCAGAACAAAAGGGTCAGTGCAAGACCTGAGGGAGAAGAATTGGGGATCTCAAGAGTGCTGGGAGAATAAGACTCTGATAAGCGATGAGCAGGGAAGTGTGGCCTTTCCTGTGTCTGCCTAAAGTATAGCTCACTCATTCCAAAGACTCCTCTTATAAAGCAGGGTCAGTTTGAAGTGTTTTTAGCAATTTGCATTGTGCTTTTTCCAACAGAAATGCCAGCTGATGCCAGAGGAGATCATTCATGTCTTCAGAAAGTCCCAAAGACACCGGGACCCTCTCAAAGCCCTACCATCATCCTCCCCAAGCCCTCAGGTTCCTTTGAGCAAGCATCTTCTGGAGGCCAGCTCGCCTTTGATCACTATGTCACTGACAGTGACGAGCACCTGGAAGTCTTATTAAATTCCCACAGCCCCTTAGGAAAGGTGAGTGATGTCACCCTTCTCAAAACTGGGGGTGAGGAGCCTCCTTTCGATGGGATCATGGATGGCTTTTCTGGGAAGGCAGCAGAAGACATCTTCAACACACATGAGATCCTGCCAGGCCCCCTCTCCCCAATGCAGACACAGTTCTCACCCTCTTCTGTGGACAGCAGTGGGCTGCAATTAAGCTTCACTGAGTCTCCTTGGGAAACCATGGAGTGGCTAGACCTCACCCCACCAAGTTCCATGCCAAGCTTTAGCTCCCTTGCCACCAGTGGCCCCAGCATCTTCAACATTGACTTCCTGGATGTCACCGATCTCAATTTGAATTCCCCAATGGACCTTCACTTACAGCAGTGGTAGAATGCCTGACAAATAAGTGCTAAGGAAAACCAATAGGAATTCCACGGGGAAGAACACACAGCCATAAATACTTATGTTATCAAAGAAGAAGATTCAAAAGAAGCAATGCAGACTTCTGTGACAATCAACAAGAACAAATAGGAGTCATTTTTAAAAAAAAAAAAATATATATATATATATATAATGTGATATTTACCAACATTCGGTAACTGTTAATCATTTCAACAATGCATTCAAAACTATGCTTTCTCAGATTAGGGATGCCAAAGAAAATTCTTTCACTGCCTTTTCAAATACCAACATTTTTTTCTAGCCCATAATTTTTCTCAGGCATTGGTGTGGCATAAGTTCACACTGTAAGCTTTTGGCATGACTCTACTAGACATACTGTGGGAAGAAAACATTAAAAGTCTTTGGAGAATACAGGGAAGGTTGTTCTTCAAAGGTTACAGGGAACATAGCCACAGTGGATCTTACTTCCCATATCTCTATTATCTAGTTTTCAGAAGAGCAGTCAGGTCCAGCTTCAGATTAGGGACTCCTCAAGGCAGAAGAGAGGGGCAGAACCAATGCATTCCTAGAAAAGTAAATTCAATTCGATGTCCCTCACCGCCCTACTAGAGTGGTTCAAATCCAGGACTTTGTGGACACTCATAACAACTAATTTGCATTGAGTCTAGAGAACTCCAGCTCGAATTTTTCTCTTTTTCATCCAGTCACCCAGAAATTCCCACCATCTCCATTCTAATAAACATTATGTAATAGGTGAGAACCTTGGACAGGAAAACCTCCTGCCATGGAAAGAGGTTCCTTACGTTCTCTAACATAACCCCCTTTGATTCCAAAGACTAGAGATAAGCAGACAGAAGGATGTCTCTAGGCAGAGGAAGCTGAATCAGGGATAATTTAGATAGGACTAGAGAACAGTATTGTTTTTCATATTCTGGTAAGAAATACCACATATTACTATTTCGAGAATGTTACTTAGAGAGGTCCAACTTCTTTTGTTTCTTAATTATGGGAAGAGGGGGTCCACCTCAATTTATCTTTCTTCTACTCTACTTTGCTTTCAAAATAGCAATCCTTTCTTGCTCCTCTTTTGACATTTTTTTTTGTCCCAACATTGAGAGGGGAGGACTGCTCAGTTCTAATAAGCTGCCATACTTCTGATAAAGCCATTTTTTTAGAAAGTTAAAAGTCCAAGTTCTCCTGCAGAACTCATTCCTCACATCCACAGTTCTCTGCAAAAGGAAGTCACAAGAAATTCCTTAGGAAGAAACTGGTGACTTGACTCCAGAGTCACAAACCTTGTTCTACTCTCATTTGACTTATGAGCAATCTTTGATTTTTGCTCCTCTGGGGAAATTGGAAATCATTATATTATGGTATTGTGGTGTTGGAAATCATTATAAATATGGATGACATTTACTGGAGAGAGTATTTCAGGTCTGAGTTTCTGAAAGAAAGTACAACTGTACATTGAAAATAGTAGAAGAGAAAACAGACCATGGTTTAATGAGAATTCCTCATTACCTCGTGTGCTTTGGCAGGGAGTGGGGAAAAAACTCAAATTGCAGGACAGTCTCTCTAAGGCTCACTGTGGCTCCAGTTCACCATTTTATAGTGTTGCATGTGTAGAACATAGCTGTTGCTGTTTTTGTTTTTAATTTAAGTCACTGAGGCACTGTTTTCTTCTTTTGTAAAAATGAAGTTGTTCACTGTGCACTTATAGAGAAAATAATCAAAAATGTTGTGATTTTAGAAGTTCTTTTTTTGATAAACCAGAAATTTAGAAGTCATTCCATTGTTATTGTTAGCTTGTAAAAATGTGTGAACATAGAGTGGTTTTGGTGACTGCTACTCTAAAAGCTGCCAGATCTTATTCAGGGGATGGGTGCATCTATCTATAGACATGTGCATGTTGTAAGTGCGTGTACCTGTACACGCACATATGTATGCATACCTACCCATGTGTGTGTGTGCATATGTCTTGAAATCAGTGTTACAGAGTTCTGTACCAAAAACCTTTATCCCTCAAACTGCTGTGAATGATACCTGGCCTTTCTCACTATGAATTCTGATTAACCAACCAGACTACACATTGCCTCTCTGTGTATGACTAAGGGCTCCAGCCCAATGACCCACAGCCACTTGCTTACCGTGGACAGGCTCCTCTTGGCAATGAGATGGATATGAAAAGACAGAATGGCTCCACCATTAGTTGCTGCCAATGGTAATACAGTCTTTTTTAGAAGAGCATAAAAAAGAATATGAAAATTGCTTTACATTCCTTGATCTGAACTGAGCTTGAAATGATTTGCATGGTAGATTATTTATTTTGCTTCTATGTCAGTCATCAGAACCAAAAATCTAGAGGAAAAAACTACCATGAAGATTAAGTGATGGGGGAGACCTTATTGACACATTCCATGCATTGGTTTATTCCTCAGATGTGATGTTGGATTTTAGTCTTGACAAAGCTTGCTATCAGCACACTTACCAGGTGCCACATTGTGCTATTTGTGTGTTATTTTCTCCTCTTACTTCCTTTGGAAAACAAACTCACATGGCTTCCCTATTCTGAGATCTTGGTCTCAGTGGTAATAATTTTTTCCCCTTGGGAATTTCTATCTGAGGGATTAGACCCAGTTTGGAAGCCTCTGTACTTGGCTAGACTGTGCCTTTTCATTGGGATATTTTTGGGCTATTGCCCAAGTCTAATATACAAGCCTCACAGCAGACAGAAGATAGGATGATTAATCTTTGCTACTGCAAGCCAACAGAGTTAAAAGAGCAGATCCCTGGGTAATTGGTCTTAGGCTTCTCCCTCAGTCTCTATGCACCATAGTCACCCTGTGCCTTCATAGCTCTGATGAGAGGCTGAGGGAGAAAACTGGAGATACTTTGGAGGGAATCAATGAAGATGCCTGTTCCCTGTAGTTCAGATAATTGGTAATTCATTTTAATTCATCTGTCTGCTGCTGGAGATTTTTACTTTAAATTTTTATAGACAGTTGTGAGCTCTTTTGTAGTAACAAATTGGGCATGACTAAAAGGTAAACAAAAAGATGGCCACATGCAAGTTTAATGTTCCTTGAGCCTAAAGATGACCACATGTAGTTAAGGCCCCTGAAGACCTCATGATGATGCAGATATGCAGGCCTGTGCAGCCATTCCTAATGTTGCTACAGCCTAGTAGATTCATCAGTATCCAACGCATCCTGAAAATTCATCTGTGCAAGCATACTCTGTAAGCCGGTGCTCATTAGTAGCTTCTAGCAACATTATTGACATAGTACATGTTCTATCATGGGGAGAGAGGGTGGAAGAGAGAAGAAAGGTCAAAGAGAGAGAGGAAGAAAAGAAAAAAGAAAGGAAGTTGGAAAGGAGGAAGGAAGGAACAAAGGAAGGAAGGGAGGGAGGAAGGAAGGAACGAAGGGAAGGAAGGAAGGAATGAAGGGAGGAAATAAGGAAGGAAGGAAGGGAAGAAGGAAAAAGAAGGGGAGGGAAAGAAGGAAAGAATAGAAGGACCCAAATTCCTAATCTATTCTTAGTTCAGCTAAGAGAGTGAGGGCGAATCTTTTCGAGACCAAGTGCCAAACTGCAGCCCCAAATCCACTTCTTTATCACAAAGTGCCAACACTGCAACTAAACCTGAATACTGAGGTTATAGTTTAGAAAAATAACTCATACATTAACATGTTTTGTCTTAAAAGAAGAACAGTAACACACATGCATAGGCTTGCCATCACTGAGCTAAAATGCAACATTATAAAAAATGAATGGCAAACTTGTAAATGTGAAGTCATTCTTAACAGTGCAATGACTGCAGTAGTACATGTGGAAATCAAAACAGCCTATACCCAAGCAGGCAATGGGTTGTGAACTGACAATTATTCTGTTTTAAATCATTTATTTCCAATGTTGTGAAAAACCAAAAATCCTATCCTAAGCACTCAAAACAGTTCTTTTCAGCTGGGGATTTAGTTCAGTGGCGTCATGCCTGCCTTGCAAGGGCAAGGTCCTGAGTTTGATCCCCCGGTACCAAAACAAAACAAAAAACAACAACAAAAATATTTCTTTTCAAAAATTACTTTAAATTCTCTCAGCTCTTCTAGAGCTGCTCTGGCTGTATACTCCCACATCAAATTTCCTCATCCAGTGGATAATTTTTTGATGCCTACCATATGCAATGCACACATATCATCAGATCTCCAGTACAAAATTGATTCAGCACAGATTGTTCAGATGTAGAATGATAAAGGAGTTGTAATCCCTAAAAGCAAGAACCCTGGGAATCTCCTGATCCTTAGACTAGAAACCTTTCAGCTAATATAAAAATGGGCCTGGTTTTTCTGGAAGGGAGAACTGAGGGTCGCTTTTAGCTGAAAGTTGTCTCCTGTGAAAGGATTATTGTCTTTTTTCTTACAGTCAAATAGTAGCAGTTTATCACTTGGAATTCTGTATCTCCCACCATTTAAAACATGTGAGAACATTTGTTTTGATTTCCAGATACAAAAGTCCCTTGAAAAATAAGAGAAAGGTGGAGAAAACATTTTTTTGTCCTACCCTAGCCTCAGTCATCATAACTGGCTCTCTAGACAAAAGGAACACTTCTGGGGGTGGAGGGAAATGAGGTATCCATAGTGAGCCTGCAACCCTTAAGAGAAAAGCTCCAGAGCGTGAAGACAATTTGGCCTCCCTCCTCCTTTTCAGGCTTTTGTTGCATTCCTCACAGAAGAAGTTCACAAATGCTGGAACATGGTTTGCTATCAGAATGAGAAAACCTGAAGTGAAAGGAATCTAGGGTTTTCCTTTTTCCATGATTCTAATTATAAACCTGCAGGTTGCTCAGATGCTGATATTGCTGATGTTTGATTGGACAGACAATAGACACACAGAGTGCAGGTCCTGGAACAGATGGTCCTATAGTGCCAAGAGCTAGTTGTGTTAAGAAGCCCTGATTAGGTTGAGATTATCCATGGGGAAATGATTTCAAATATGGAGGGATTTGGGAAGAATTTGTTGTCATCCACCAGGCATATTGGACTAGGACACATTGCATTCAGTAATATATGAGTAAATTTCTTTCTGATCCTAGGACTTGGTGATTTCCCCTATGGATTAGGACAAACAACCCCCTAGAGGTCTCCTGTACTTACATTAACAAGCTACTTTCATCATGGACACTGGTGGGATGCATTTCCTATAGATGGTTTAACTACTTTGGGTGTCTATGGAACAGTAATATAGCAATGAGGATTCTGGAAGCTATTTAAATGTTTTCCAAAGGAACAAGACCCACACTGCTCCCCAGAGTTCAGTTCCTGTGGCCTTACAGTGAGGAGCCAGGGCAATAGATTGCTGGGTGCTTAAAATCCTCCCTCAACAAAACCTTATAGGCACTTTATAAAGAACTGAGGAGTGAGCATGCACTCTCGGTGGGACCCTGTGTGGTGTGTGTTCATGCTGGACTCATTGCTCAACTCTACATAAAAAGTACTAAATGTGGGGTACTGGGAAAACCAAAGAAGCAGTGGCTGCGATACCAAAGTTGGCATGTGTTCATTTTTTTAAAAAAAGAAAATGCATATATTTTTAAATAAAATGTTTATTTTAAACAGATGTAAAACTTTCTTTTTCTTAACTGTATGATGTATTTGGGCCCTGAGCTATGTTCTTTAGATGCATTATAGCATTATTTCCTTTTATGTCACAAAGTGGTGCCAGTATTATCCTTGTTTTGCAAATGAAGAAATAGGCTCAGAGCCAAAGTCAGTTGCTTAAGTTTCCCTAACTGGCAAAGCAGCAGAGCCAAGGCTGATTTCCAACCTCCAAATCCCCTGATCTTAAGCACTGTACACTTTGCTTGTGCTTAGTACTCATCACACTAATACAATAAAGCACCTTTGCAAAACTGATTTTACAAGCTACATTAAAATGCACAAACATGGGTCTGGGGGTTTAGCTCAGAGGTGCCCTTTCTGCCACCCAAGCGCAAGGTCCTGAGTTCGATCTCTGGTACCAAAAAAAGAAAAAAAAATGCACACACAGGCGCAAACCTTAGCCAACCCAATGTTTTCATCAGTGTAGCAAGTGAACAAACTAAATAATATGTAGAATAAATTGGGCACCAACATGGTCTATTAGACATGAGCAGCTTCCCCAAAAAGAACCTAGTTCTTACTTGCTTTTCTGTCCTAAATGTAATGTTGCTTATCATTTTCTTTTTGGTGAATATGTAATCCACAAGGAAACACTATGATACCACGACATAACCACTGGACTAGGGACCCAAGCCTTATTTTAGATGGGAGTTAATCTTTCATGGTTTTGCCTTCCTTGGGTCTTACTGTGTGGTGGGCTCATCCCATGGTCACAGTTGCCAGAAGTCCCAAGTGTAGTACAAATAGGTCTCCTATCTCTAAAGGTCTCAGTAGGAAAGGCATACTAGCTTTCAGCGGTCTGCACAGGTTGTCACCATCCCTGAACACATCTCTGAGGTTGTGAAAGCAAGGTGCCAACTCATTCACAGTGCCTGGATCCCCCCGCATGGCTCTGAGCTAAGTAGTGTGATTGATGAATTTTATGCACTACCAGAAGAGAAGGTAAGTTTTCATAAGGAAAAATAAGGGTGCTATTACCAGAGGAGGAAGTGGCTCCTGAAAAGTCAGAAACAAATTTCTACTACATAATCCATGCTTTCAAAAAGTTTGTCCTAGGGCCAGAGATTTATCTCAGTGGTTTCACACCCTGCCTCGCAAGCACAGAGTCCCGAATTCAATCCCCAGTACCAAAAAAAAAAAAAAAATAGTTTGCCCTCTAAGAAAGACAGAGACAAATAAATAGGAAATGCAACCGCATCTGATAAGTACATGCTGCTTGGTAGCAGAAGGCCATTTAATAGTCTTATAGAGATAGGAAGACTCTTCAAAGAAGAAGACCATGGAGCCAAGAAATTAATGACAAGAGACTTAGGCACACAGACTGTCAAGGAAAAGAGTATTCCAGGTGAGGGATCCACCTTTGCAGAAAACACAGGTTAACAGAACTGACCCAGATCAGGGAATGTCAGAAGCTCAGGATAGTTGGAATAGAACAAGGGCAGGGATGTTGGGGTAGAAATGTAGGAGGGAAAAGAGAAAAAGTTGGGAGCTATGTTAGTCTGCCAGGGCCATCATAACAAAGTACTGTAATAAAACTGGTGACTGAAGCAACAGAAATTTATTATCTCATGGGTCTGGAGGCTGGAAATTCGAAAACTATGTGTTGCAGGATTGCTCCCCTCTGAGGGTGGTGAGGGAAGGATCTGTCCCAGGCCTCTCGTAGGAGGCTGCCCTCCAGTATAACCTCCCTGTTTTCACATCATCTTCCTTCTGCGCATGCCTGTCCCTGAGCCCAAATTTCCCGTTTGTAAGGATGCCAATCATATTGGATTAGGGCTCACCTAAAGACTGCATTTTGATTAATCCTGTAAAGCCTAGCTTCAAATAAGGCCACATTCTGAGGTGCTGAGGATCAAAGCTTCAATGTATGCATTTTAAGGGGAAAAAGTTCAACACATAGCTGAAGACCAGATCATGAAGGATTCATACATTACGTTGAAAAGTAGGAACTCTCTTTATTTTTATTTTATTTTATTTTTTTTGGTACCAGGGATTGAACTCGGGTCCTTGTACTTGCGCAGCAGGTGGTGAAACCACTGAGCTAAATCCCCGGCCCTAGGAATTCTCTTTAAAACAGTGGAGCATTGCTGAAGACTTCTTAAGCTAGGAAGTGCTGCATTAATCTTCACACTTTAGGAACATGACTCTGGCTAAGATGTACAGTAAGTGGCAAGGACAAGGGTAGAGCAGCCCAGTAAATTTCTATGAATTAGTTCGGTGAGTCATTCTATTGTGTTCTTCTTCTATTGACATGAGAACATAAAGGAAAATGATGAGTGACCAAACACACAGGATTTGGTATATGCAGATGGATAGGGGAGATGGAGGGGCAAGAGTGAAGGTAGCGACTTGAGAGTTGGTTACACCAACCCAGACAAGAGGCCGACACTGGCCTCTGCTAAGAGAGTGGGGGCAGAGGTAGAGAGATTAAGGGAGGTATATTAACATTCCATCCACACTCCCTAGGGTTTTCTAGGAGAATACAATCTATACTATACAATTATGTAATACCTATAATTATGAAAGGGGATTTACATGACAAGATTACAGGATCAGAGGGGAAATAGTCCGTGATAGCCATCTGCACACTGCAGTACCAGAGGATCCAGTAGTTGCTCAGTCCAAGAAGCTGGAAGCCTCCGACAAACAAGAGGAATCAAGGATGAAGCACTAGTTTGAGACAAAAGAACTAGAACCTCCCTGAAGAGTCCGTGGTGTGACTCTGCATGGAAAGGCTGAGGAAGTTGGAATTTAATGTCCACAGGCAATTGCAGCAGCAAGAGACACATCCACTCAGTTGAATTGAGCTCCTCTTTCTTCCCCCTTTTGTTCCATCCAGGCAGCAAGCCTATTGGATGATGCCACCCACATAATCAGGGTGGGTCTTCCTTCCCCTCTTCAGTTTACTAGCCTATGTGCCAGACATTTCTGCAAAACCTCCACAGACACACCCAGATGTGTGCTTTACTAATCTTCTAGGTGCATCTTAATCTAGTCAAGTTGGCAATCAACATTAACTATCAAACCATCACTATAACAAAATACCTGAAACAGGCTATGTATGAAAAGAAAAAGTTTGATTTAGCTCAGTTTTGGAAGTTCAAAGTACAAACCACAAACAACATAGCACAGGCTTGCCAGCTGCACAGCAATTGTATCACCTTATGGCATGGATAGCTGGTGATCATACCTTAAGCTAGGGAGGAGGAATGGAGGGAGGGAGGGAAGGAGGAAAGGAGGGAGGAGGGAAAGGAGGGAGAAGGAGGAAGAGGCAAGAGGGAGGAGAGGGGAGGGAAAAGGAGGAGAGGAGAGAAGAAGAGAGGAGAGGAGGACTAGAGCCCCACAATCCTCACTGAGATCACTTCCTCAGTGACTTAAAGACTTTTCACAAAGGACAGTGGTAAAACAGAATGGTGGCTTTTCAGGAAGAAAAGCATGAGAAAATTTCATTTCTGAGTTCGACTAAGACAAGGACCAAAAATATGTTCTTTTGGTTTAATAAAAAGGAAATGGACGGTAATCTAGATGAAAGCAACTTGGACATAGAAGTGCGGTCAGATGAGTGCAGACTAAAGAACCAAAAGCCGGTGAAGAAGTGGGGGCAAAGAATCCACGGATGTCTTTCAAGGAGTATGACAATGTAGGAGGAAGATTCAAAGCCAGAGCAGAGAGCCAAACATTTAAAAACTGATTTTCAAGAGGCCAGAAATCTGAGCTGGTTTAAATGCTAATGAGAATTAAGTAATATAAAAAGAGATAAAATGATAGAGAATAAGTTCTAGGTTGGTTTGCCTTTAGGAAGAAGAAGACTATTGTGGTGGGAAAGAAGGAAGAAGGTGAGTGTAAATTCAGGTGAGTGTAAATTCAGGTGAGTGTATGGGTGGTCTAGATGTAATGGAAGGACAGTGACAGGGTTCTCAGTTGGTACCTTCTGATTTATGCTTAAAACAAGATACAGATGGTGCCCAACTATGGGGTAGAAGATGTGTGTGCTGGAAATTTTAATAAAAGCAGGAAAAAGCTAAAGCAAGAGCTGTGGCTAACAGGGAAGAGGACTGATTGGGAAACATGCCTGTGCAGAGTTGGAAAAATGGCTGGAGATCAAGTCTTCTACACAATTGGTGGGTTTAGCATTAACAACACCAATAACTCAGTTGCGGAGACACAGAAGGCGGTAGTGGTGGAGATTAGAGGCAAGTGCAGGATGTTGCAGAAATAGTGTAAAAGCAAGAGAACAGAATTAAGTGACTCGGGATATGACTAAAGAGGAGGTAAAAGGATAAATTATGAGATATACATTGTATTATTTCAGGGAAAGAAGTAAAGTTTGGACAAAGAAATCAGGCAAATCAAGAAACCAGAAGTGGACCAAGTATTGATATAATACTACTAATAATCTGATCATATTGTCCTTGTTATCACAATAATGTAAATGAGTATCCATGTTTGCAATTTAGTGGAGATGAACAGTAATCTCTCAGTAATGGTTCAAAGTTTCCCACGTGCATAGATTAACCAAAATCCACCTTATGTGGAAACACACTATCACCCTCAAATGTCAAGGATAGGGCTGAGGATTTAGCTCGTGGCACTGTGCCTGCCTTGCAAGTGCAGGGTCCTGAGTTCAATCCCCAGTACCCCCACCCCAAATGTCAAGGATACCCTTGTGTCCAGTAAAGGGAAGAGAGATCCACTGTTCCTGTCTTTTGTAGTGAAACTGAAATAGAAATATATATTCTTGGAGACAAGAGAATTCCATTAGTCAACAAATCGAGCTGTTTGGAAAGGGGCCTTGGTGCCTCCTGAACTCCAGGTTGGGAAATTGGTATCACAGCTACAAAGAGGGAATGAGAACTTTCTGCCTATTACAGCTAGAAGATGAAGGGGTTCTTCAGAAGGTGGGGGTCTCTCGCTCCCTGGTTATCCTGCTCAAGCAAAT